GTATATATTTCTTGTTTGGGTCACTTTTTAGGGTTTCAAGAATTTATTTGTATGTGTATGTGTATGTGTATTAATTGCTTTTTCTAATACACTGAGTAAGTAATACTGATACTGTAGCCAAAATGATTACCATTACCAATTTAGTTTGAGATCAATTCATTATATAAAAATAGAATTAAATATATAAGAAGTAACATTATAAGTAGCTTGTGCGGAAAAGTGGAATACAAAAGCGGAAAAGTAACATTATAAGACATAAAATTAAATATGAGTCGCATGCATAAATATTTCGCTATAATTTATAGTTGATCATGCTTCTATAATAATCTCATATAATATCATTTAGATTGCTATATATTATTTAATAATTATTTTATAAAAATAAGTGAACTTATAATCTTTAGAAATAATAAATTTTGGCTAAAATGGTAATTAAGTTATTTTAGCCCAAATTTTCAACTTTTCTGCTATTATATTATTTCATAGATCTAGTTTGATTTATGAAATAATCGAATTACGAGAAATATAAAATAGATGTTGAATAAAATAGAACATATATTCTTTACATTACATGAAATTCGCGTTTCATAAATCTAAAAATTATCGTGCATTTGAATTTTAGCCAAAACTCAAAGTTTTCAATTTGTTATTTCTGAAATAATTTTTCAATTTTCTCCATATCTAGTAATGGTTTATCAACTAAACAAGATTTAACGTTTTCAAGAGTTCGAGTCCTCTCCACTATGGAGTTATCACCGATATGGTGAATGTTACTGAAAGGGAAGTGTTACAATGAATATGAAAAGATTAAAATTTTCCGCATTTAATTTCTAGTTTTATCACATACCATTATTTATTAAATAATAAATTTCCACATCATTTAAATGCGAGCAAGAATTATGCACTCTTCTCTATAAAAAATGAATGCACTCTTCTCTAATAAAAAAGACCAGCTTCTCTTTTGAATAATGTATACAATAAAAATATAAAAAATAAGTTTTTTAATATATTATATGATGTTATCTAATATAAAATAATAATTTTATTACTCTATTATTATGTAATATTATAAAAAACGATAGTCTCATAACAATATCATTTTAGACGTGCTTATGTTTTATGCCACTTTAAGAACTAGTCTAAGTTCCTGAATATTACTAATTGATTTCATGTTAATAACTGAAAAATATTAGATTAAGAAATTATTGTAATTAGGATAATTTATTATAAAAATATATTGATTATAATATTAAGTATTAATTGAAACAAAATATAATATTATTTATTGAATCTTTTCAAATTCTCATACATTTAGTTGTAATGGTTATTAATGTCATAATTTTTTATAATTTAAGAGTGTAAAAATATATATAATTCGACATCAATAAATTTTAATGAATTTAAGTTATAATTTAATTCCATTAGTTAACCCATTGTAGTTTTTAACTTCTTTATCAAATAACATAATTAATTTAATGGAATTACATTAATAATTATATTGATAATCAAAATTTTTAAAATTAATTTTCTTGCCTACTCATACCCTAAAAATCATTTTTCTTACCAATTCAGCACCTTAAATATTATAAAAGTGTTCAACTTACAACACCTATTTGACAAATTTAGATAAGAAAAGAAAAACAACAAGGGAGAAAACGATATGGAACAGCTTTCAAGTTTTTTTTTTTTTTTTTTTTTTTTTTTTACTATTAACTTTCTTAAAAATAATCCCAATAATTTCATGCAACTAACTCAGAAAAGACATAAATCATAAAATAAAAGTTTGACCAATATATCATTGCAACTAACCTTAGTAATCTATTTATTTATACTTCATATAAACGTGAGAATAAAGAAATAATATGATTTTAGATAATATTCTTAAAGCATCTCCGATGCTAATGTGTATTACTCCTATCTAATTATCACATCAGAAAAATGAAAATATATTTTTAAAAAATTCTCTCAAATGATAATATCTATTTGCTATGTCAAGTTGATGTGTCAAAAAAATAAATAGACATTGTCTACCGCACCTTTTATTTTTAAAATGTCTCTTAAACAATTTGATCATTTATTGCTTTATAGTGGTTGGTTTTATGTTAAATTGTAGATCCAACAAAGAAAAGAAAAAAGAGAATGGAAAAGGATATCAAAATAGTACATTGGTGAGAGATTTTTAAAATTTAATGTCTATCAAATAGACATTTAGCAACATTATTAGTCACACATTCTATTCTATATTACAAGTCACATTAGTTTTGGAGATTCGCTTAATATGCAAAAGTAATATTTATATTTTTTTATTTTTTTTAGTTAATTAAGAAAATGAGTTTATTGCCTTCTATTTCTTTTATGAATTTTTTTTAATTTATCAATAAATTATTATACTATTAAGCAAATTGATGTAGTTACTTGTAGATAAAATATAATAAGGAACGAATAAAAAAATTCTAATACAACATTAAATATAAAAATAAAATAGCTCGAACTGTATATTGATAAAAGTATAGAGATAAATATACAGTTATTCCTATTGTGAGAGTTTTAAATTGACACCATTCCAGAACAAGTGTGGGGTGGAGATATAGTTGCGAAAAAAAAAAAGTAAAGAAAGAATGAAGATAGACAAGTAAACGAGTTGTGTTATGAACCATTACATAAACAAAATAATAATAAAAAAGGACTTGAATTGCATTGCTTGGAATTATATAAACAATGTAAGAAGTCATTCTTTATTTTCTTTTTTATCAAGACGGAATGGGAAGTAAATAATGAATCTTTTTATATTTATTGTGAATTTATTATTTTAATTTATCTAATTTTATTAGATTCACAACTCATCACATCTTTTTGTTGAATGATAGATTTATGTTTGTCATAACCTAATTAAGTCATATTAAAAATTCCGGTATGAGCATGGGCGTAGACAATTGCTAAAAGAAATTAGAAGAAAGAATGAAGATAGACATATAAAACAAATTATGTTATGGTTCGTTGCATAAACAAAATAAATAAAAAAAAAGACTCAAATGGCATTTCTTGAAATTACATAAACAAAGGAAGAAGTCATTCTTTATTTTCTTTTATAGGAAGAAGTCATTCTTTATTTTCTTTTATCAAGACTGAATGAGAAGAGAATAATAAATCTTTTTATATTCATTGTGTATTTGATCTTATCTAATTTTAATACGTTCACAACTTATCACATTCTTTTGTTGAATAATGATTTATGTTTGCCATTTGCCATGACCTAAGTTAAAAGTTCATGTTATGAAATTTCGTATAAGCGTAGAGGGAGACAATTGCTAAAAAAATTAAAGAAGAATGAGATAGACAAGTTGAAATTGAATTGCATTATGTCCATTATGTAAACAATTAAAACGTAAAAAAAAAAAAAAAAAAGACTTGAATGGCATTTCTTGGAATTACATAAACGATGGAAGATGTCATTTATTGTTATTTTCTTTTATCAAGACAGAATGAGGAAGATTAATGAATTTTTTATATTCATTTGTTAATTGTAATTTTATCTAATATTTTATCTTATCTTTTTATGTTTGTCATGATCTAATTATAATGATATATTGGTCAAACCTTTATGTCTTTTCTGAGTTAGTTGTATGAAATTATTGGGTTATTTTAAGAAATTTAATAGTCAAAAAAATGGAAAAAAAGTTAATTGTTGTTATTCTTTTCTTGCCTAAATTTATTAAATAGGGGCTGAGATCTAATTTTAATTAAAATATATATACACACGTTTTTTTTCGTTATTCATTTTAATCATCTTTTATAAATCCTTTTTTAATTTATCAATAAATATTATATTATTAAGCAAAATTGATATAGTTATTTTTAGATAAAATATAATAAATAACCAATAAGATAAATTTTAAGTAATTTTAAATATAAAAAATAAAAAAGCACTAGTAACAGTACAATTAAGAATAATTTGATTAAATTATTCTTGATTTTATATAGTTTAAGAGAATCATTTTTTTTTATCTACGTTTAAAAACTTTAAACAAAATATATTTTGAGACAAAAAAATATTTAATAAATGTAATTTTACAAGTTAAAGGGTTAAGTAGATATTACTTAATAAAACTTATTTGATTATTGACAAAAAAAAAGGTAACACCCAATTATTATATATTTTTTAACCGTCGAATATTATAAATTCACCTCTGAACTTTGTTACCTTTAATCTTGTTGCCACCTTCAACTTTTACTTTGGCCCGATCAAACACTTAACTTTATAAAATTAACATATTAATTAAATTTATTTTATTAAACACTGTCAACTTACAAAGATTAGAACACTTCAACTTACAAAATTAGATCAATTATGCACTCATTAAAAAGTTGAAATTTATGAAAATTATTATTCCAAAAGTCATGCTAACTACATATCAAGTAGATATTTTATTAATAAAAGCCAAAATCCCACAAAATTATTGATATTAGTATCAAAAGGCATGTAATATTATCAAAATTTACAAATTGAAATACATGATAGGTCATCCGCAAAATACATGATAAATAAAATTTATTTTATGTAAAAAATATAGTTTTTAGACTTATAAAAATCAAATTTCATATAGGATAAATAATAGATCAAATATAAAGGATTGACATTTATATTAAATTTTACTTACCTTTTCAATAAATCAGTCACCATTTTTAGGAATTAGACTAGACCTAATACAGTTACTATTGAAATTTAATTATATAGAAATATCATATATAGAATTAGAAACATAAAATCGTTTAACTGGAAATAGTATTGCATAAATTAAAGATCACTTATGCAAGGTATACAAACAACATTAAAGCTTTTATTATTTTGTGAGTCTTACGTTAGGAGCAATCATGCTCATAATTATCCTCACCATTCACGCAGAAAAACAAGCACCGATTATTCCATCCAAATGAAATTACTGAAACATAAAAAACATAAAAATAACACAACAACAACCATGACAAGTGCTTGAATTTGATTAAAAAATTTTTGGGATACTAATGCTGATTTCCACCTTGATTATTCCCTCTTTGGCAGTATCAGAATTTCCACCTTGTGCATTGCCACCCTGAGAATTTCGAACTCCAACTCCGCCTTGAGTGTTTCCGCCCTGGGTGTTACCACTACCTCCGCCTTGAGTGTTTCCGCCTTGGGTATTGCCGCTACCTCCACCTTGAGTGTTTCCACCTTGAGTGTTACCGCCTCCTCCACCTTGAGTGTTTCCCCCCTGAGTGTTACCACTTCCTCCACCTTGAGTGTTTCCACCCTGAGTGTTACCGCTACCTCCCCCTTGAGTGTTACCACCCTGGGTGTTACCATTACCTCCCCCTTGAGTGTTACCACCCTGGGCACCCTGGGTATTTCCAGTACCTCCGCCTTGAGTGTTTCCTCCCTGAGTGTTACCACTTCCTCCACCTTGAGTGTTTCCGCCCTGAGTGTTACCGCTTCCTCCTCCTTGAGTGTTTCCACCCACCCTGGGTATTGGCCCCCGGGGGGGCTTACCCCTTTTTTTTCCGGGGGCCTTGGAAGAAAGGTGGTTTTTTTTTTTTCCCGCTTGGGGTGTTACCGTTTACCTCCCCCTTGAGAGGTTCGCCTGAGATGTTACTTGCCTCCTCCACCTTTGAGTGTTTCCCCCCTGGCAGTTGTTTACCGCTTCCCTTCCACCTTGAGTGGGTTTCCGACCCTGAGTGTTACCGCTACCTCCCCCTTGTAGTTTTATTACCACCCTGGGTGTTACCATACCGTCCCCCTTGAGTGTTACACCCTGGGTATTTCCTTAGTACCTCCGCCTTGCAGTGTTCCTCCCTGAGTGTTACCCCTCCGCCTTGAGTGTTTCCTCCCTGAGTGTTACCACTTCCTCCACCTTGAGTGTTTCCGCCCTGAGTGTTACCGCTTCCTCCTCCTTGAGTGTTTCCACCTTGGGTATTGCCGCTACCTCCTCCTTGAGTGTTTCCCCCTTGGGTGTTACTGTTACCTCCCCCTTGAGTGTTTCCGCCCTGGGTATTTCCGCTACCTCCGCCTTGGGTGTTTCCGCCCTGGGTATTGCCACTACCTCCACCTTGAGTGTTTCCCCCTTGGGTGTTACCCCATCCTCCTTGAGTGTTTCCTCCTTGAGTAGACATTCTTTCTCTTGGAACTTGTTAGAATGTTTTGATGAAATATTTTGGTGGCTTGGCAAGAGAATTGTGAATCCTTATATAGGCATATAGGAAATGAAGCGTGATTTATAAAATTGTTATATTATTCATTGCTGATTAGATGACAGGAATAGTTAATTATTTAAGATAGACCAAGACCATATATAAAATGTCAACATTAAAATACATTTGCAGACTTAGGAAACTAATCGTAAATGTAGAATCATCTTCTTAAACTAACGTAATCTTAATTTTCTTATACTTGATTGGTAATTAATTACCATCCCATAATTAATTGTGACATTACAGTTTATTTGAATTGAGAAAAATAGGAAGACATATTTAATTTATCGGTAGCCATTAATAAAAAAAAGGCAGAGTCAATGAGATGAAAAAATAGAAAAAAATAAAAAAAAAAGACTGAGAAAGTGTTTAATAAAAAGACTTTGTATATTAAAAAATAAAAAGACCGAGAAAGTGTCTAACAAATATATAGTTTTTGTGAATGAGGTGTGGTTTGATTGATCTTCTTATTTATGTATGGAGTTAGAGATTTCGAGTTTGAATCATCTTAACCACAAGTGCTTTCATAAACTTGGTGAGTCCAAAAGAGTGCTACCCTTCTAGTGTTATTTCGGCTATTAAATCTCTCAATAAATCAAAAAAAATATATAAATAAAATTGGTAAAATGATTAGTTAGAGTCGTTATCAGAATTAATTTCAATATCATTTCAAATTCATGACGATGAGCCTCATTGCTCATAATGTGTTGCTACTCACAAAATAACGAGACTTTAAATGTATTTTGTGTACTTTACATAATTGATATTCAGTTTATGCAATAATATTTTAAATGAAGAAATTTCGAGTTTCTAGTTTTGACATTATGTAAGAAATTGTTTTATCAAATATTTTATGAACCTCTTAATTAGTTAATTAGGTCAACGATAAGGAATTTTTGTGTGAATCTATTTAACAATTAATCATATATAAGACATAAAGTTGAATATGAATGGCATATATATTTCTCTATGATTTATAGTTGATTGTAATAATCTTATGCAATATTATCTAGATCGCTATATACTCTCTTTTTCCCAAAATATAAGTGGTTTAAAGTTTTTCTACAGGATTGCTATATGCTATCTTTATCCCAAAATATAAGTAGTTTAAGATTTTTGCACATGGATTAAGAAATTAATTAATTCTATTAAATTACGATAAAAGCAAGAGTAAATCGACCAAATTACCCTTAATTTCAAAACTAAGGGTAACTTGTGAAGATGATTATTATATCTAATATAAGAAAATGTATTATTGAAAATATATAATTTATTACTCCTTAAAAATATTCAAATATATAATTTATTACTCCTTAAAAATATTCAAAACGGCTTATATTTTGAGACAAAATAGTCATACTAAAACAATATATATTTTGGAATGAAGGATGTAACCTAATGTTACACTAATTGTTCAAGGACTTGTTACACTAAAACAATATATATTAGTAACCCAATTACTAATAATTAAGAAAATTATTGAGTTGAGTTGAGTTAAGAATTAGGAATTATTAGTAATGTCAAATAATTAATTTTTGTATAAATTTGTATCAATAAATTATAATACAAACAATAAACAATGAATTATAATTTATAGTTTTTTTTAGTTGGTTTGACAATTAATGAATTCACATTTAAGAATACAAACAAGTCTACATTAGGTAGTTATTCATTAGTGGATTTTTAAATATTAGTGAGCAATAAATAAAGAAAAGGGATTTGTTAATGTGTTAATGCCCATGATTATGAATTAAGCTTACTTCATACTCCCCTGTCCCAAAATATAAGTCGTTTAAGGTTTTTATACAAGAATTAAGAAAACAATTAATTCACAATTAATTCTTCTAAATTATAATAAAATGAAGGGTAATTTTGACCAAATTATCCATTATCTCAAAATCAATAGTTGCTCGTGAAAGTATTTATTATAGCTAATCTAAACAAGGATAATATTGAAAAAATATCATTTATTACTCATTAAAATACTTAAAACAAGTTATATTTTGGCCGGTGGCTGGTGGCCCATGGTAGTAGGTAGTGGTGGATTACAATAGAGTAATGTCAAATCATTATTTTATTGTATAAATTTGTATCAATGAATTATAATACAAACAATATATAATGAATTATAATTTATAGTTTTTTTTAGTTGGTTTGACAATTAATGAATTCACATTTAAGAATACAAACAAGTCTACATTAGTTAGTTGTTCATTAGTGGATTTTTTAAGATTAGTTAGGGATTAGGTTAGCAAATAAAAAAAAGGAAGCTCTGTTTCAATATGTAACATTGTGCACTATAATTTATGAAATAAGATTTACTTTCGTACTCCTTCTGTCCCAAGATTAAGCAGTTTTAAGATTTTTTACCGATAAGGATTAAGAAACATAATTATTGCTTTTAAATTACTAATTACAACCCAGGGTGATAATTTTCGACCAAATTATCCTTTATCTCCAAAATCAATTAGTTACTTTGTGAAAAGTATTTATTGTTATCTAATCTAAATTAAGGAGTAATATTGGATAAGAAAAAATTATTCAATTATTACTCATTAAAATAGCTTAAAACAAGTGATATTTTTGGGCAACAAAACTAATCACTTTAAAAACTGACTTTATATTTTTGGGGTGACAGAGAAAGTAATGCATTTTATTTTTTTAAATATATATTAATAAGATAATATTTTTCTTCTTACATATCGGATTTTATCATCTTTGATTAGAAAAATGGTTTGTTTACACTAAAAGACAAAAGATACCTTCTTTTAGTTTATGCCTTTATGGGTATAATTTCCACCGGAATTTTTGTCAAATAATGACTTTAAACTAATCATTTTTCTGTTTCTTTTTATATTTTTCTTTTTTTTTTTTTTTGAGGAGAACTAATCATTTTAAGCTAATACGTTATTGAGTTATTTTAACGTTGATAATTTATTTATGAACGAAAATTTTTTTTTTCCTTAATCATTATAAGAGGCTCTTCTTGGTTCAAAATGAATCTATTTTTGAGAAATACTATTTTCCGGCGAGGTACATTTTCTATGGACAATAATTTATTCCAGTAAATACGATTTTGAACTATAATTTAGTATTAAAAAATTCTATCAAACTTTTTGAGAAGTAAAGTTTGCTATTAAAAGTCAAAAAGACAATATATACATAATATTAAAAATAATAATATATTTTTAGATAAGTCGTTTGATAAGATTGAAAATTTTATGTCCATTTAACTAGAGAAGTGCAACTTTCTTTGGGTTATCCTAAGGAAGTTAACTTCTCCCTTGTGTAAGGGAAGATTGCGCATGACCTACTTCCTTGAAAAATAGAATGCGAGAATATAAGTTTAAACGCAAGCAGCTTTCATGCACTTATTCTTCCGAAAAATCTACACTTTTTAATCTACTTACCCCCAATCCAACATTTCAATCCTAATTTTTATTTTCTGCAAGGTTAACTTTATGAATTCTTGTTTTTAATCATTAACAAAAGTCTTTTTATTAAACCATTTTTCTCTCCATTTTTCTTTTTACTTTTTTTTTTTTTGTCCTAATTGGACTCGGCCTATTTTTCTGATGGCTATGAAACAAGAGTGAATTTACTTGTGCGACCTAATCATGTTTAGTAATTTTACTGGTTCATCTCTTCCAACATATCAAATCGTTTTAACTGTGTTTTTGTATGTGCGTATTAGAAAAAACTATTAATTCTCCTAAATTATAACAAAATTCAAGTTGTAATTTAATTAAAATTACTTTTTATTCTTAAAACCAAAATTGAACACTTTACAGCTATTTGGATCAAAATTAGTAGCCATCTTAGATACGAAAACAGCTATCAACTGTATTAAATCAGATTGAACCAAACCCCAATCTTAAACAATACATAGTATTAGTTTTGATAATATTAATATGAAATTAGATATTATTTGACTATATAAAGAATAATATATATATTGAACGGATATTTAGGACTCCTAAATTTAAACTCTAACTATGTAAATAAAACATAGATTACTCGCTTTTCCTTATCCCACTCATAAGTTATCCTCTCAACTAATATAACTATTATTTCTCAATTAAGCGTACAAGGCTGCTAATTTCACAATTTCAGCAATTATTGTATTCCTTCAATTACTGAAAGTCTTTAACAAATTTTGGTCGCTCGGTGAACGTGGAGTTACACTTCTATAGTAAAACTACTACAAAATATTGAGGCATGCTCCTATATAAAAAAATATATATATAAAAGATTTAACGATTGTTTCCTATATTATTAGATACATTGTGTTCTATTTAAACATTAACGATGACGGATATTTGATATTACCTTTGGTTTTTCAATGGTGGCGTGGTTTTAAACGATTGCAAAGAATCCTATTCGATGAAGTTCTCAGTAGAAAAACATTGTGTCATGGACTTCGATGACTATTGGTGGTGCCGATTAGCAATGGTCGATGACTGATGCAATTACAGGTCTGAATTCCAGTATTCCGAGACTCAGACTTCAACTTTGCCTACAACTCTTGGGCAACCTTTGTATCACAGCATACTCAATTTGCGAGGGTCTTTTTCATTGGTGCATAACATTCACATCACTTCATCTAATGGCTGTTAGGGTAGAAGATAACAAAGCTAGAAAAGAAAGAGTTTTAATAGAATTATAATTCTATTATTATCAAACTTCTACAATAAACCGCCACACTTAAAATAGGAAGAGTAGTAACAGAAAGTTGCCTCTAAAATTAGGGAAGACAATAGTGGAAAAACTATCACTTAGTAACGTAGAACAAATCACCCTTAGTAACTCTCAACCACAAGACCCATTCAATAAATTAATATTTACAGAATTCACCCTTATATACTCCATTACTCAAGCCTAGACACATCAGCCTTCATTACTCTCTTGAGGGATAACATCCT